CTTTTGCACGCATATAAGGTGATTGCAAATACCATGGCTTACTCTATATACAATATGCCTGCTTACTTCAGGTATATTTTGGTTTAAGAGAAAAAAACCAACAACATAATTTATCTTACGTATGATCACACACACTGTTGACCTTAACTGAAACCCATGTGATAGTGTCCACACAGACCAAGGATTGAAAGGGTGGGAAAAGAAAATTATTTTTTTCCTAAAATTCTTATTATAAGAACATATTATATTAAAATACTAACTTTCTCTGGGAAATGTATATATTGAAATAGTTGGAGCTCTGGTGGCGCAGTGGTTAAGAGCTATGGCTGCTAACCAAAATGTCAGCAGTTGGAATCCACCAGCCACTCCTTGGAAATCCTATGGGGCAGTTCTACTCTGTCCTATAGGGTCACTAAGACTTGGAATCAACTTGAAGGCAACAGGTTTAGTTGTTTTTTTTTTTTTTTTTGTAAGTTACCACAGAGGTAAAATTAGTCCTCTTAGGCCAGGATTACGGGTAATGAATTTGGGTGGAGTCATAAATAAATAGATTGATTTAAATAGCCAAGAGACAATTAAACTTTTTATTACCTTGTGATTTTTAATATTATCAAAATATTAAGAGATTAAATATGGGGAGTCATATTATGTTAGGATAATGATCACCCTTTTGTATTAAAAAAGCAATAAAATACAGAATTCATCCCAATGGATAATTTAACAGCAGAATCATATGGGAAGAACACTGTCATTTATTTGTATAAGAATCTGTAGCTATTCTCCCTAAAAATATTGTCCAATATTACTTACACGCCAAGTATACTAATAAAACACATCTTTCTTACTAAGAGGATACTAACTAGTTTATATGTACCACACTGAAGTTCTTGCCAAATATGTGTTCCTCCCCTGGTGTTTGCAACATCTGTTAATGGTCCTGCTGGCCTCTCATTTCCCAAATTCAAAACTTTAGAATTTGTCTGGATCTCCCGCTTCCTTAAGTGCCATGCATTCAGGCTGCAAACAGCTCATTTTTTTTTTTACAGTTGATGCAGTCTACAAAATATTTTTACTTATCATAACATTTAATAACTGCAAGGACCTCAGCAAATGACCTATTCCAATTCCACCATTTAAAAGGAAGAAATCAAGACCCAGAGAGGTGAATTTTTCCCCTAAGACTACAAAGAAACTTACTGATACAAGTAGGACAAGAATCAAGATCTCTTTTCCTGCAAGACCACTACTCTTTCCACTGTCCCTATGTTTCGTTGATTTTTACCTTCACAACATTCCCACACTTGATTCTTCTTATTCAACTACCTGTACCTAGTTCTGGCTCTTATTGATCTTAGCAATATGCATACAGTGATGTCCTAAATGATATCACTAATTTATTCTCTTCAAGTATGCTATATACTACTGCTAGATTCATGCTTCGGAGTCACAGTTCTTACCATGGTCAATGTTCTGCTCCAAATTTTCAGACATTAAAAAAAAAAAAAA